GTCCAGTGGGGTTTTGTCCTGGGCCCAGTGCTATCCAACCTCTTTATCAATGACTTGGATGAAGGAATAAGTGGCATGCTTCTCAAATTTGCAGATGACACCAAATTAGGAGGAATAGCTAATATCTCAGAAGACAGGATGAAAATTCAAAATGACCTTAAAAGATTAGAAAGCCGGCCCGAAGCTAACAAAATGAATTTCAACACAGAGAAATGTAAAGTACTGCACTTAGGGCAGAAAAATGAAATGCATAAATATAAGATGGAGGACACCTGTCTTAAGGAGATGTATATGTGTGAAAGGGATCTAGGAGTCTTAGTAGACCACAAGTTGAACATGAGTCAGCAGTGTGATGCGGCAGTGAAAAAGGCTAATGCAATCCTAGGCTGCATCAATAGAAGTACAGATCAAGGGAAGTTATATTCCCACTGTATTTTTTCCCTGTAGTTTGCAACCCAAGAAGCTTGGGTTTGCATTGTCTGGTGAGCAAACTAAACTCTGAGGGTGTATCCACACTGGCTAACGTAAAGCACTTTGATGCCACTTTAACTGTGGCGGCTGCATCCTCTGGAATCCCAGGAAATGTAGTTTTGTGATCTACAAGTTGAGTAATTCCTTATCTGGAACTATATATTCCAAAAACCAAAGCTTTTTTTTCTTGGGTGGCTGACCGACTGACCCTTTTGGTTTCCGATGGTTCGGTGTCCACAAACTTTGTTTCGTGGACAAAATTACTTAAAATACTGTATAAAATAACCTTCAGGCTATGCGTGTATACAAAACATAAATGAATTTATTGTGCAGACTTGGGCCAGTCACACTCTCTCAGCCTCAGAGGATGGCAATGGCAAACCCTCTCTGAAGAAACCTGGCAAGAAAACCCTATGACAGGTTTGCCATAAGTCGGAAATGACTTGAAAGCACACAACAACAACAATTGCAAGCAAATATTCCAAAATCTGAAAAGAATCCAAACTCCACAACATTTCTGGATAAGAGAAACTCAACTGTATTAAGAATCCTTTAACAGAGAGCTCTGGTGCCTCCCCAAACTACAAATCCCAAAATCCCACAAGCTGTACCTGCGGCAGTTAAAAGTGGTATTGAAGTGCAACAATTAGGCAGTGTAGATGCCTCTTGGTTGCTCCAACGGAGAAGGAGGATATGCTGTTGTTATTACTGTCCGCCTTCAAGAGGTTTCCAACTCATGGCGACCCTAAGGCAAACCTATTTTGGATTTTGCTGGGCAAGATTTGTTCAGAGGGGCTTTGCTTGCTGTTGACGTCCCCTGAGGCTGAGAGAGTGTGACTTGCCCAAGGTTACCCAGTGGGTTTCATGGCCAAACCAGGATTCGAACCCTGGTCTCCAGAGTTATAGTCCAACACTCAAACCACTACACCAGGCTGTATTGATGTATTGGTGTATTGATCACTACAATACATATTGATCTCCTCAAATTGATAGGAATGTGTGTCAATAGTTGGGTCAGGACGCCCTCTAGTGGCTGGAGAGGAAAATGATGAGAACATCCTCAGGATGCAGTATGTATGTATGTATTATTATTGTTATTTCATTCATTTATAGCCTGCCTTTCTCCCAATAATGGGACTCAAGATGGCTAAGAACATGTTAAAAATAAAACACAGATTAAAACACTACAAATCTTCAAGGAAAATATAAAATATACAATTAAACAATTATAGATTAAAACAATTACAACACATTAAAATACATTAAAATAATAAAAATACAGTTTTCACACTCTCTTAGAATCATAGGCTCATGGAGGTGGAAGGGATCCCCAAGTCTGACCCC